CATATGTCAAGTTTCTGGCAGTGCATGACCCTAATTGCAGGCTGAATTTTCCCAAAAGTGGAAAATTAGTGGCTCTCCTCGTTCTGCCAGATACTCTCCATGTCTCAGTTTTCATCCTTCTCTCCATCCTGTTTATAATTACCAACTGTGGTTTGTAGAGTCACTCAGGACCTTGAGGGCCCTGGAGCCTTTCACAAACTAACGCTCTGCCTTTTCAAGAAGACGTACAGCTTTCGGTGCTCAGACCTGTGGGACTTGTTCCAGACTGTTTTAGATACGCTGCACTCGTCATTTGGGGAACCCGTCTCACGTTTAGGCCGAGCTTTTCTGTGCACACCTAAAGAGTTGTGCTAAACTGCAAGCTGCAGATCGTTCCTCCTTTGGAAGGAGAAGGAGATCTCACTGTTTAGTTAAGTCTCAGTCCCCCTGCTGCGTTCCAGCACCTCAAAAGGACTGTTTCTTGTGCAAATTGAAACAGCCTGCCATTACTTTTTTTTTTTTTTGCACTATCGCGGGGGCCGAAGGAGGTATGGAACCGGGGAAGAATGTTTTGGTTTAAACAACATTAGCATGTTGATTATTGTTTTGAGCCAAGAACTGCATTTGGCTGAGCTGCTGGGAGTTTGTTTGACCCCGTGTCTAAAATAAATGTGCAAGCGGCATGCAAGGAAACTATGCTAGACATCAGCTCAGGATGAAAATATGTGTCCATCTGTTGAAATTTGTTTCTTTTATCACGCATTTTCTATTATTTGCTCAATAGGTTTGCAGTGCAGTGAAGACCATTGTGCCCTCTCAGATTTCTACTTTTGATTTTGATTTTTTTTTTGTCACACTTCCTCCAAATGCATTTTAGAAAAATTTAGAAAAAGAAATAACCTAGTTAAAAATCTAAAATGTTTTTTTTTTTTTTTATGCAATGAATAACATCATAACATGGCTGAATGACAAAAAGGAAACACCCCCCCTGAACCTAAAAAAAAAAACTGGATGTGGTCGCTGGGAAGCAACTGCAATCAAACATTTCTGATAATTGGTGATAATGTCACTGTGGAGGAATTTCCTTTCACTCCTCTTTTTTTATGGGATTGTTTTAGTTCAGACACACTGCTGGGAGTTGTGAAACGCCTTGCTAAGATCACATGAAAGGCATCTAAATTAGATTTAAGACCAGACTTTGAGTAGGACACCTCAGAGGCATTTTTTTTCTTCTTTTTTTTCAGATGTAAATTCAGTGATCAGCTGGGTGAGGGAGGCTCAGCGCTCTGTGTCTCAACCTGAGCCTCTACTGTGACCGCTGCTGCTGATGACCGACGTGTTGGGAGCTGTGCTTCCTCCTTTCTCGCCAACTTTGCATGTCCATTTGACAAAAAGAAAAAAAAAAAAAAGAAAAGAAAAAACTCACTCACCTACTTAAAAATGCAACTACAAACTATGGGTTAATCCTGTAGTCGATGATCAGCTAAAGGATCCACTTTCTGCGTCTTTAACGCAAAAGGCTGTCGGCAAGAGCGATAATTCAAAAACAGTAAATATCCGAGTTGTTGAAAGAACTCTGGAAAGCCTCGAGAACTATTGATCAAGACATCTTTTAGGGATTACAAGAACATTCAGTTTCTTGGAAACAGAAGCATGAAGCGGTTTGGTGTAAGAAGAAAAAAAAAAAACCTGCATGTCGAACTTGAGTGAAGAACAGAAATACAGCATTTCCAGCAGTGGAAAGAATGTTGCCAGTGAACATAAAGCTATTATGTTTCCCCTCTTTAAATCCTGTCAGTGGGCTGGTTTCAAATGGTACTGATGCAGAAAAATTCCACTTTGCTGGCTCAAAAGAAAAGCGAGAGCTCTGAATTTAAATGTTTCACTCTGGTCTCACTCACTTTGAGGTGGCACCCTCATTTATATTGCAAACCTCAGCAGACAAAAAAAATATAAGTGTTCACACACGCACAAACACACGCATATGCACGTCTCATTTGAATCCGCATCGTTTTTCCTCTCACAAGGTAGGTCATTCCCGGTAAACGTATTTTCTAAATCATTCCCGCTGGTGTTTTGTCAGCCAGCCTAATCTGGACACAAAAACAGATTCATAAACATCTTGAATTGCAGAAACTGGTTTTGCTTGTGGCAGCACTATGTGTTGATGGACGGCAAAGACTTGACGGGCACAGAAACCTCCCGACAGATGTTAACACAATAGCCTCCTGGTGAAAAATGTGAAGGTGACATAAACTTGGTGTGTGAGGTCATACATGAAGAGGGTGGGAGGAAATAGCCCCAATTATTTAAGTTTATGGAGCCAAGGTTGAGTCAGTACATACATTTTTCCTTCCTAAGCCGCATAAGCTCATAAAGTAGAAGAAAGTTATTAATTTGCAGAGCACCAACATTCAGGGTTTGCTATAGTTGGAGTGGAGACAAAAAGGTCACTCACAAGCCAGCAAAACTCCTCCCAGTGGTGTTTTCTTTTTTTCTTTCCTTTTCTTTTCTTTTCTTTCCTTTTCTTTTCTTTCCTTTTCTTTTTTGCAAGCTGATGTTTTCCTTGAACTTTCACATTTATTAGTCACATCATAACCGCAAACTTCAAGATCTTCTATTAGATAGATTGTCACAAAGTATTGTGTTGGTTCACAGTAATTGTGAAGTGGGGGAAAAAAACATAATCGATTGCAGTTTTTGAACATAAAAATGTGCTTATTCAGTCCCCGCTATTGTAACGAGACCTTCTACTGTAACCGTAAGATTCATTTTCCAGCAGGTCAAAAACTCTAAACACAGCGCAACAGTTTAGATCAACGAATATCAATCTGTTGAAATGGTTCAGTCAAAGTCCAGACCTAAATCCAGCTAAAACTGAAGACTTGATGTTCACATTTGCTCTCCATCCAAACTGAGCTTGAAGTATTTTTGCAAATAAGATGCAAAGCTAACCAAGGCAAGGTACCAAAAGGCAAATTTACATAGTATTGACTTAGGTAACTTAATCCAAAGACACACCACACTGTTAAGATTTTCATTTGTAGAAAAAAAAATTAAAGTTTAATTGTTCTGTCAATAATTATGCACAATGTCGTGTTGATTTATCATGTCAAATCTTGATAAAGTGTATGAAGACTTGCTGTAGCGACAAAATATGAAAAGGTTCAAGTTGTCTGAATATTTCTAAAAAAAAAAAAACCCTACTTAACACATGACAAGTAGAAAACCTGTGAAGCTTCAGCTGATGTGTACATCTAAAGCAGCTCGTCTGTGACTTGATGAATCTGTGAGTTCACATTCCCAGCAGATGCGCTTCTGATTTTGTTGACTTCGTCCGCCGGATGCCGTCTGCTTCATAAATCTTCCATCATCCTTCCGCGTCAGCAATTTGCTCTCAGTGCTTCTGTAGCGCTTAAATTACCAGCAGCGCAGAAATAAATCAGGCTTTCACAAGTGACGAATCCCCAGTCTGTCATCGCAGAAGCTGTTCTGGCTCCTCTCTCAAGTCGAATCCGTTTCACATTCCGCGCAGGCACGGACAGCCGCCGCCTGCTCGGAGAGGAGGGCGCAGCAAGAGCACAATCTCTTATCAACATGCATTTTGTAGCTAACGTGAACAAGATGTGGTTTTCATGTATTTATTTAGTTGTGCTGCACTTTTTTTGACAGCATCTTCTTATCATTCCCCCCCCCCCAAATCTTCTGCATCCAAACACGGCTTGCGTCTCTCTCAACCCGTTTCCACCTTGTAATCCACTAAGAAAACCCTCTCATTATCTCAAACCAGCTCCTTGTCTTTTGGCTCGACCGCATCGTTTTTACTCCGTCCACCGTCTGCCGACCGAGAGCGACCACCGCACTCACTCTCTTCTTCAGCTCTGCGGTTCCTTCCGGCAGCCAAACCACAAGCCCTAATTGCTCAGCATTCCTCGAAGGGGACAAGAGAGAGGAACATGAAGGTAACCTTCATGTCAAAGTTCTCGGGCCCACAAGGCCGACCTGTGGGATGAAGTGGAACAGTATTTTGCTATCAAGTACAGAGTTGCTTCTTAAATTTCCAGAATTATTTCCAATCCTTACTGCAGCATAAGGTAATCGACCATGACAAGAAGCATAGATAAATAAAAGGGGATTTAATTTGGCTTAAACGAGCTCCAAGCAGACAGAAAAACGTTCCAAGTTGCTGACTTTCAGACTAAACAAGTCCTGTTTTTCATAAATTGTATCAGTGTGTATGGTTGATAGTGTGTAGACCCAGGAATTGTTTTAAAAGGCAACGTGTTCATGACTTAAGTACCGATTTGTACAGCGGAGCTGATCTGCATTTGCTTTATCAGCAATGTTTTCAGTTACACGAGCCAAGAACAGCACAAGATTTATTTTTCATTTTGATAGGATATCAACATGCCAAATTTAGTTGTTTTATATATATATATATATATATATATAAAACTGCTTTTAACCCAAAGAAACCTCAGGCCCATTTGTGATAAAGTATTAGCTCCCTCACAGATTCATGCTGAGCATGCTCATCAAATTTACTTTCAGACAAAGGCAGCCTAAATCCAAAAGTACTCACCCTGGCCTAAGGCTTGACCAGAGGGACATTTATATATATATTATGTTTATATGTCCACGTATAAATGTAACAAACTTTTGAACATAATGACAAAGTAGCAGATTTGTTTATGAAGAAAAACATTACAAGTGTAACAAAACACAAAGGGTGAGCAATAACTTTTCAGCTTTAGTCAAATCAGTTAATTATGGCATCTCCAAGGAATTTACACAAAATGGACATAACCAACACATTTCACTTTTTAAAATAATCAGCCTCATCTATACATCAAACTAATTCACGACTGTTTCCTTTGGGTACAAATATATGAAACCGAGTTACATCCCTTTTGAGAATGGGAAAGACCAGAGAACATGTATGGCAGGACATGAATGCGGTGAGCAAAGGAAATGCTTTGTCAATGTAGGAAATGAGCAGAAAAAAAGATATATAACAATAATTCAAAATAGTAAAGTTGTTTTAATTATCGTCAGTACATCAGATTGTATATTGAATCAGCTGAAAGCGGACAGGCTTCCTCTCAGCGCCCCCTGTGCTTTTTCTGCTTTAATGTTACAGTACTCCAGGACATACAAACGATTCATACTGAACCTTTTTTTTTTTTTCTCTGCCAAAATAACGTCTCTAATAAATGCACTTTACAGTTCAGAGTCACCAGTTTCATTACAGCCCGAAAACACTACAAGGACTATCCAGTAAAACTGCACCATAAAGCTCATAGATATTTTTTTTTCCAAAGCAGCACATTCAAGGTTGAACTTTTTGAAATGTAGTTATTACACTGACCTGTGCTCTTTCACGGTCTGCGTGATTTTTAAGTAAAAGAAAGCAAGGTCTGGCAACATCTTTCCTTTTATAATCATCATTTGAGATATTAACAATTCCCAAGGCAAACCCAGCCACCATGAAGAGCAAATACAAAATACTGATGGAGAGAAGCGGGAGCCTAAATGTGTAGCGGTTACTGATAGGAAACGAAGCCCAAAACCAAAGGAAGTTCCTCATATTGTCCATTAGAGCCAGTTGAGTTTTTGCAGCGGGTTCCCACCGGATCATTCGGAAACATTTGCATAAAAGCTTCTCCACATCCAGTACAAAAATATGTATGCTAAACAACACTAAAAACATGCTAAACAGGAACAGATATCTTGGAAAAAAAAAAGTGCAATGAAATTTATTTTACAAAAAAAAAATAGGGGAAACTGAAATAAAAAGATACGCACAAACAATGTGAATTAATATGGAATGAGTTTACCTGTTGCGTAATTCCAGTCTTTAAAGTTTTGTTGTCTTTTTTTAAGGCTGGGAAACATGTTGAAGAGAAGCAGATGAGAGCGATCTGTAAACTCTGACTGAAAGAGCCATATTTGACTGCTTTTTTTTTTTATTGTATCAGTTTTGTTGGGGGTTATAAAACCCTTCTGGTTAAAAAGGTTGCTTATGAATCATGCTGCATTTAATGAAAATTAACAAAAAAATATGAACAGGAAATAAAAAAGGCAGTACTTCACTAAATAAGCTTTGAATGTCACATTTTCATTAAGACAACAGCTCTGTTTCCTGCTCGGATGCATAAAGGTGTAATTTTTTATGTAGGTGTGCAACTTGCTCGAACTAGTGCTGTTTATTAAACGGTGAGAATAATTTTTATGCATTTATAGCGGTCTACATGCCTGATGATTAAGAGTGCTCCTACAGAGCACTACAGAGCCATGTTTGCAGACTTCAGGTGCAGGTGAAAGCAATGCATACAGTTTATTTCTTAACAAAATGATCTGAACGGCGTTGAGAAGCACTGGAGACGCAGATAAAAAAAATAAAAAAAACTGCAAACATCAGTTTTAAACTCTTCAGCATCTTATAGTTTGGATACAAAAAGACTATTTCACACTAAAAATGTTGCAACCAGGATGTTGTCAAATATTTAATGTTTAAGAAAACAACTTTTTTTGTGCAGGCATCCTATCTGTACCCAGCCTTAATAAGGAAAAATTATATTTAAGTTTACATGAGACACACACAATCCCATAATCGTAGAAAAAGAAACCACTTTTTAAGCAACCTTACCACCAAATGAAACTGTGGATTCTAAAAAGGCACCTTACATAGGAAAACATCTCTTGTTGCTGAAGTTTGATTTGTTGGAAATAAAAGGAGAACAGGGAAGCCTTTTCCTCTCAACTCCAAACCACTTCATGGTGGAGAAAGAAAGGCTACATCATAAAAAACTGCATGGTATAATTTTCATTGGAGGAACTGCTCTGCCACAAATTGTTTTAAAGACATAGAATGCAAATCTGTTATATAGCAACATTTTCCATTAAAACATTTCCAAATACTCCATCTTACTGCTATAATGTGGTACTGCATTTCTGCAATACAGAGTGTTTTTTTTTTTTGTTTAAATAAATCATGCAGTGGGGATTCGTTTCGTTGTCATGCAGGTACCATACTGTGATTAACGCTCCAAAGTCTTAAAGAAGGAGGGTAATAACACAAAAATGTAAAACGATAAAACATAAAAAGACAAGTTGAAAAAAAATTTCTTAAAATAAAACGTCCAGCAAGCTCTGTCTTGCTTCTGCAAACACAATCCCCCGCCCCCAGACATGAAGGAGGGGGAGGATGTCTTTCCCTTCTTCCTTTTCATGCATTTCAACTCATCCCAAAAATGATCTGCCTTGGTGCATAAGCATTACAGCAAGTCTCCCTCCACCTCCCTTTCAACACGATATATTTCTTCCCTTTCAGGCTTGACAGTCTTGCTCCCCCTGCAGGCGACAGGTTGGAATGGCGCTGTGTTCCCAGCCAGATAAGCGGGGGGGGGGGGGACGGTGCCTCAGGTTCCACCGAGGGGGGTTAAAATTGGAAAGTGAATCGGGATTAACAGGTACATGAAGGGGGGTTAGATATCACACACTATTGGCTGGGTGGCAGCGGTAGGTGCAGTTGGACAAAGGGTCTGCTCCTCCATCCATGTTCTGAGAGCAACCACCTTCACAAAGCGCTCCTGAGAAGGGAAGAGCACAATATATAGGCATTAAACTGGCTAAGAAAAAAAATGATTGGGTGGAAATAAGCAGATGCTACCCCTTACCTTCCTCTTCCATCAGCAGATGGGCTTGGCACGGATCAGACAAGGTGGGGCCAGGTCCTTCACTGCCAGTGCTAAGCTGGAGACGCCTCATGTGACGGATCACTGCGGTGGCGTTGAATGCTTGCTGCAGACACATAAAACAAGAAAAAAACACAAAGAACATGGACAAAAATGCCCAGTTTTAAGACTTACAAAAATAAAAGCCCTAGCAAGCAGAGCTGAATAATAACTCTTAAGACAATGCAGAATTTTATCACTTTTGTTTTCAATCTCTTTTTATAAATATAAATCTAAAAAATGCGGTGTGCACTTATATTCAAGCTTTCTGAGTCAAAACTTTGTAGAAACTTAAGATGTAGGTGTTTTGTGATATTTCTACCCCGGGTTTAAATCTGCAAGTTTAGATGCTGAACTTTTTGCGAAAAAGCTCAAGGTTAATGAGATGGGACTAAGAGTACCTAGTAATACAAATTTCTAAATCATATGACACATTTTCACTTGGTTTTAGGTCTGGATTTCGGATGGGTCATTTTAACACATAATGTATGTAAACTTAAAGTTTGCATACAGCTATTTTTTTTCTTTATTTTTCAGTGTCAATGCTAAGAAGGCTGAATACAAATGCAGACCCTACTTTTCAGATTTCTGATTGTTAAACTCTTCTTAAAATACGCACTTTTCCCATTTCAAAAATCTGCTCTAAAGAGTAACGAATACTTTTGCAGAGCTCTGTGAGATTCTGACTGACCTTCCATTTGCTCTTAGCAAAGTTTTTCTTGATCTGAGCACTGACAGACTCATGAATGTTCTTGTCCAGGGCGGTATCTCCAGCAATCCTGAAAGAAGGAAGAAAAGGTTTGAGTGAGCTAAATAAATCTCAGTAAAAAAGAAAAAAAAACAATTATTTGAATCTTTAAATAAACTTTTTATTTGAAGAGTTTGTGCTGAAGAGACGACATGACAGAAGAAACATACCAAGGGTGCTGCAGAGCCTGCTCACAGGTGAAGCGTTCATTAGAATCTTTTTCCATAAGATGTACTATAAAGTCTTTAGCTGTAAAAATTAAAAAAGTTTAAAGTTAAAAACTGCTATGAATCTCATGTGAAAAAAAAGAAGAACAGACTTTAACTTGTCTTACAATATTTTAAAATAACTTTTTCTTGCTCAAGTCACACACAAAATTTGTGTTTTATGTTAGACTAAACTGTTTAATACTAGCATGTCAAAAGCATTATGAACAGAACAATGGTGTTGTTGTTTTTTTTTACATGTATTATAGTATTATACCTGAATCAGAGATATCGTCCCAGTAAGGAGAATCAAACTCGTATTCTGCTCTCAGGATCTGTTCAAACAGTTTGGCATCATTTTCATCATAGAAAGGTGGGTATCCACACAACCTGGAATAAAAGAGAGAACAGTTTATTGGTGCATGACTAACACTATACACTCATATTCAATAAATTAGAATATGATTGAACAATTTAGTTATTTCAGTAACTCATTTCACTAAGTAAACACATTACATAAATTAATTACACAAAGACTGATGTTTTCAAGCTGATTTTCTACTTATGGCTAGAGAAAACACAACATTATATGATATTGTATTTAACCAATAAAAACTATTTTAATATAGTAATGTAGGTTTAATGAAACAAATGTTTAATAGCTCCTTAAAGGTTGTTATTTTCAAAAGGTACTTCTAATCTGACAAATGAGTCTCATCTAAACACATTTAGATTTATTTGATATGGCTAAACTTCAATGTTTATCTCATGGTTCTGAAAGAGCAGTGGAACTAAGTAGAATGCTAAATAAAAGCATTTGCATATTATTAAATATACTCAGTTGAACAAGACAAAAACACAGAATATTAAGTGTATTAACTGACTAACTGGATTGTCTTTTTTTTAACATAGCATCAACATTTTCCACACTCAACAATACAAAATCATGCAATTCAGGTGAAAACACATGGTAGGACATCTCGCACCTCCTTATTCATGACTGGATATAAAACAAACAAACAAACAAAAAAAGTTTGTTTGCTAGTCTATGTGCCAGATGGACAAAGATTTCAAACATGGGTCCTGATCTACCAACATTTTCTTTATCCAAAAACCGGTGTGAACTTGAGAGCATGTGTAAAAACCTGATCTACAAACAACATGCACTCAGGATTCACATTTTCCTGCACACTTTTTAAATGACAGTCTGCTTTGTTGGAATTAAGGTTAACCCAATCAAAAATTATTCCCAAAAGCTACACGCTTTCATTGTTTTTATGGGCTTGCGAACAGATAAATATCTTTGATTTTGAATTTATCCGAGGTGTCCTTTTGTTTCGCAACAAAACCGTAAATGATTACAGTTTTTAATCATTTAAAATACTTGTGTGAAACACATGATGAGTCAAATTTGGAAAGGTAAATATGCGTTGTTGTATCATTTTCTTTTATTTTGGATATACAGACCTAGTAAGGGTATTTATCTGAGGGATGGTGACTCTCCAAAGTTGTACTCACAGAATATATGCTATGACCCCAATAGACCAGCAATCCACAGCTTTACTGTACGGCTTCTGTGCCAAAACCTCAGGAGCTTAAGAAACAGAAGACGCAGGTTTTAACACAAAATGTCAAAACTTCAGTTCACTCATGGAATCTATGTTTGTACATACATTTAATATTAATTTGAATATTTTAAGAAGCTGTTGCAGAATTACATGATATGTAAGATGAGTAAATCTCGGTCTCTAAACATCTTACCAACGTATCCAGGTGTTCCACAGGCTGTCGACATCACGCTGCCCGAGCCCTCGATCTTAGACAGACCGAAGTCACTGATCATGATTTTTGAGTCTTCGTCCATGCTGTAGTACAGCAGGTTCTCTGGCTGTAAGCAAAACCACATACAAGTGTGAATTTAAAGCATCTTATGAAGCCTGTCGTATATCCACTAGGCTACAACGGATGTGTTAAAGCCCTAAATATCCAGTAAAATCTTATCAGATACCTACTATCAGACATGAAGTACAGAAAAAAACATAAGTGTTACACCACATACACAATTTGTTCTGAATTTCTTGTTAACGTTACAAATATTTGTGTTGACAAGTTGGCAGGAGAAAACCTTAGTACTCTATATTAAACAAAAACTGCTTAAAAATAACATTGTACTATCAAACACAGAATGGTCTGACTGACCTTAAGGTCACGGTGCACAATGCCCATGTCGTGGAGGTATTTTACAGCGTCCAGAATCTGTTGAATTAGCTTACTGGCATCTTTCTCTGTGTAGAAGCCCTTCTCTATGATACGATCAAACAGTTCTCCACCAGACACCCTGCAGAAAGAGATGCATTCAGCAAAGCGTGTCGTAAATGCACATAACACCGCCCGTTTTATGAATTTGAACAAAAGGAGATGCCAGAGAAGTGGCAGAACACGGCAGTAGACCTATGAGGAAATCAGCGAGAGGAAACGAAAAAAAAGCAGGAACTTACTTTACAGCCAGTGACAAGAACAAACAGCTTCCAGTTTTTCTGCTGCTAAGAACTGCTGCTTACAACAGCTTTGATGAAGTTTACAGTAACAAATACTCAAATGTAAAAAGCATACTACTTTAATCTGAAAAATACTGGGAGACCTCAAACAGTGTCTGCTTTTGGCCACCAGATGGAGACTTCACTCTGCTTACGAAGGTCTCTACAAATTTTCTATTTATCAAGAAATAAATCTCAGGGCTTAATCAGTGGCTTGAGGGAGACTTGAAAGAAAGACCAACACTGAATCCAGCAACAGACTGTTAATAATAAATAAGTATAATACATATTAATGCAGTAAAAAAACTCAGTTTTGAAGCATCCCTTTGCTTTCTGAACACCCTGGATCTCTGCCACCTGCTGCCTTTTGTTTTCTGCTTTGACTCTGATGAATGCATGAATGATTTACACTTTTATTAGTGTCACAATTAACAGCCCTCCTGATCCTGGTCTGTCATTGATCTGGATCCTCTCTGACATTTCAGCAGTTTAAGGTGGGTGGGACGCTGACAAGCTGCTAGTGTGAAGGCAAACTCCCCACTGATGCTCATGGGTAGTCTGCACACACACACAGGCACACACACGCACGCATACGCACGTGTGCGGTTTGTGTGTGTGAGTGCGTGTGTCTGTGTTGCGGAGTGCAGTTCGAGGCATGTGACAAAGAGCGTGTGGGAGATAACACGAGTAGGCAGCTTGAAACACACTTTGCACAAAAAAGAAGGATTCACACAGCACCACACATATGTGAATACTCACAGTTGCATGACAAGGTAGAGGTGTGATTTACTCTCGAATATCTCTTCCAGAGACACAATGTTTGGGTGCTTAATCCTGTCAGGAAGGAAAAGAGAAAGAGGAAGAAACAGTTTGGTTGTTTATTATGTTCCTACTTGAGGTGATCCTATAACTTTACACATGGAAGCTCAGCTTATCTGCTTCCAGCTCGTAAATATGATCTCAGTGTAAAACTTAATGTGCAGGGCTGGGTTAGTTTATCTTTATGGGTAAAGAGAAGATGTCTCTCGGCAAATGCATGCAGTTCTCTAATTGGCTGAACTCTGCTTTGGTGCCCTTTGACACCCGTCAGTGATGTGACAGCAGTGGGAACATGAGTCACCAGCTTCATACTGGTATTGCCCATTTTTTTTGTCCTAATCACTGTGTTCAGTAAATAAAGTCTTTCTCCTTAGCATGTCACAAAACATTCAGTTTGGCTTTTGATGAATCTTATCAAAGCAGAATATCACATTTAACAGCATTCGACTTTAAATAGAATGAGAAAAAGAAAACATGCAAAAGATGAACTAGCACCAGTAATCATTGTTGTATCGTCACAAAGTCCCACTAAGTTTTTACATCAAAACTTGGTCTTACTGTGCAGCGCCTTGCTCAACTTTTTTTTTTTTTTTTGCACATTCGACAAAAACATTCAGATGCATTTTTAATCAAACTTTGTGATAGAGCTACGCAAAGTAGTGCACAAACGTGGAGCAGAAAGAAATCACATTGTTTTCAAACTTAAAACAAGTCAGAAAATTGCGGGCATTTATATTTAGGAGCTTTACTGTGAAGCCCTTGAATAAAATCCATATTTGCTTTAAGAAATCCCCTAATTAGCCGATGCATTCCACCTGTACTTATTTCACTCTACATATAAACCCAGCTGTTTTGTGAAGGCCACTGGGGGTTAGTTAGAGAGCTTAAGCCTTAAGTGAAGCAAACACCATCACCAAAAAATGGAGCAGACAGGTCTGGGCTGGGCAAGAAAAGTATTGACCAGAGGAGCAGTTAAATGGCCTTGTGTTAACTGGAGAGATCTACGTCTCAAGTGTTAGACAAAGTAATTGTTAGTTATCCACTCCACACAAAAGAATGACAAGACACATATTCACAATTATGAGCTGGTTTACCAGATAAGTTCCCATTAGAAAGCTATTAAAATGTGTGGTTGAAATGTGAAAACGGATGAAAATATTTAAAGGGGTTTGAATACTTTTGAGTACAAAGTCAAGATGCTAAACTGAGACAGTCTGCACCAAGCACAAAGCCATGCGGACAAGATGTACCGAAGGGAACTCTGTGTGGGTCAGCTCAAGCTCACGTTGGATTACAGCAGTGACTCATCCAGATTGCAACGATGCATGGACACCTTCATTCATCTGCTAAGGACAGCGTTGAGGGAGAGACGAACTCGGTGGAGGATAAGTGACAGATTAAAACTACAGAGAAAGAGAGATCAGTCACGTGTGGCCCTGTATGAGCTTAAGCGTTCAGCAAACACTGTGCATTTCAGCAGAATTTCTGTGCAGGTATGTGTTTGTCCAGCTGACGAAAGAAAATATGGCCACACAGCTCGGGTGGTGATTTTACAGCGCTTACAGATTAGCTTATAAGCCGCTAATGAAAGGAAAGTAGGGGCACAGCTAGAGGATGATCAGTGTTTGTGTACTGGGTTGATCATTAATACAGCTGATTTCTTATCATCCGAGACATGCTTTGATCTAAAGAAATACAACAACAGATGTGAAACCGTCACTGACATGTATTAACCTGATGTTAACAGGTCATTTTAAAGGCTTTTGGACTCCAGTGAACCACAATGAAAGCCATTAACCACTAATTGAAAAAATGAACAGTGGTGAGTGGCTGGCCTGTTGAAATTACTCCAATAATTCATCTAGGATTCATCCAGGATGTGACGAAAAATCCACGAACACAACACATAAGTGACTGTGAATTTCACTTTCCTCAGTTAAGTGTTCATAATTCAGCAAAAAGAAAGATTGGATGAAAACACCATCCTCTTCTAGGCAGAATCCACTGCTGATTAAACAGAACATGAAGATTTGTCTCACAGAAACTTTTTAATCATCCCAAAAACTTTTAGAAAAAAAAAAAAAAAGACAAAAGTGGAATTGTTTGGAAGGATTGTGTCCCGTCAAACAAGTGACAGTGAAGCATGATAGCAGTAGTGTGATGGCTGGGGGTTTTCTAAAGCCATCTTTATATTACAAATGAATCTGTGTCTATTTTAAAGAGCAGATTTATAAAGTAGTGTTTTTCTTCTTAAAGGACGCCAAACTTAATTCTTAATGGTGGAGAAAACTGTAAAGTTGAACAATTTCAGAAATGCTTATCTTCCTGTCAGCCTTCACACGTTCAGCTAAAACTGTGAAGCTTTCACAAAGGCGAGCAAAGTCAGTAATGAAGCTGTGATGCGGGGTAGACTTCACTTTGAAGAACGGTAGATGTGACTCTTGTACATATGAATCTCTCATTTATAACTCATGCTGCAATCCTTCCCAACTGGGACAGAAAAAAAACCCTTCAGGACATAATTCAGCCCAATGATTTCGTAATTTAGACAGGAAATCATATTTCCATGTCACAAAATATACAGTGTGTAGTAAAAGAGGAGCTAATTGATTGAAATGTGTAGGCTATTTATATTCATGAAGCAACGTCTTTGAACTCTGAAGGAGTTGTGATGTAAAGCAGAGTCTGTTTCAGTCCCTCCTCTTCAGCAGGAGCTACATGCTCAGCTATGATGTGATGACACCAGCAAACATACACCTACCCTACCCCTGCCTCTGTGAGATACGGGGACATAAACTATTAACATGAGTAATGAAGCCTTTGGACGAGTCAATATGAACATCCCGTGGAGCCAAACATGACTCTCAAGCCGTGTTTACCTCGGTTTTATTGAATTTGTCACAGTTGTATGTGAGCTGCTGGCTGACCCCCACCACTCTCATTCCACAGTTCTCACCTCAGAGGGAATCATAACTGTATATTGTGTTTCTCCTGTAACCTAGGCAACAAGGCCTCTAAAAATAACCAGGGACCTGTGTAGATCAGCCATTTTTATTGTGACCTGTATTTCCCCATATATAAAAAGAGCACAGCAGGAAAAAAAAAAAAAAACCTTCACAATTAGGAAGTTTGTGTCACTTCATTGGTTTTAATGTAAAAAAAAAAAAAAGGGTTGCTTCTTCAGGTATGAAAGAGGAAAAACATTTTGCAGGTGTATTTCTTTAAAGCATAAGGTTTCTTGTCACATAATTTGTAATCTTTAAGGAAGGTACATTTGAAAAAAATATGTTTTAATTACATTTTAGGAGGATGCATGTTGTGTAGCACCACAATTTAAGTCTACATCTTTAAAGGGGAGGCATTATGTATTTTCAAAGCACATAGTATCATTTTATACCAGAATCAAGTAACTATGTTAAATACAATTTAAAATAAATGTGACTTCATAACCGCATCACATCTCTATCTTACGCCTTGAAATTGGCCCCTGTCTCTGTGGCCACAGCAATGCTTCTCCAAACTACAGGAGTGTTGTAGTTTGTTTGATAAGCTCAGCAGACGTGCAGTTCCACCAGGTGTTTGCTAATTGCTGCAGCCACTAGTCTGGTGGAGCTGCGTGGGAGAGAGGAGGAAAGCTGTGTGGGCTCAACTGAGAACTGAAGAAGCAATAACATCACGCCATGAAATAAAGCTCAGAAAAGTCGATCTGGCATAATACTCCCCCTTTAAGAACACTTAGTGAAGCATCATAACTTGGAATACCTTTAGACGACTTTAATTTAGATGTAGATGTTTATCAGAGGATAATTTTAAAGGCTAATATTTCACTTACTTGTGCAGAACTGCGATTTCATTCTCGATGCTGTTTTCCTTGCCTTCCAATGCCTTCTTGGGAATACACTTAACAGCCACCAATCTCTGCGTCTTCTTCTCCTCAGCCAAGACCACCTCAGAGAAAGCTCCCCTGAAACACAAACACAAAGGTCAGTCTGTCAGCTCTCATCAATCTCCAGGGTTCAGATTGGGTTCTTATGGTATGAAGTGGATAAATAAAAGAAAAGTCTAGGTTTGATGAAAAAAAAAAGAAAAAAGAGTGATGGTTAATTTCTTGCCCTACTGATGCCAGACTGTGATTTATTTTCAACTTCAGCCTCCTCCTAAAGCCTCTAACATGCTGACTCAAGTCCAGTCGAGCCTGTAAACTAGTGGGATGATTTGGAAGCACCAGTATTGAACGCTGTTTTTTTTTTGTTTTTTGTTTTTTTTCTCTGACTCACATGATAACCAATAAAACACTTGGATGGGGTATATTATCTAAATATGAAGGCGTATGTGTGGATTGCATGAATCACTCCATGCATCTTTCCAGCTTACTTCATTTTACTAAATCCCACTCATATAATCCCTTAACAACAATATATACAGCTGCATGTTGTCATAACTTTATGGTTCAGCGGTCCATTGGGCCGTGACACACTAATGTGCGCACTGTAGTTCCTTAATTAGAAGCCGTTGATAATAGACCAAATAACATTTTGTTGCATTTTATCCACAGCAATTCTCTCTTCCAACTAACAAACAAATAAATAACCAGATATGAAACAGAAAGCACTTAAGACCTTTATCATTTTCCTTCGAATCTTTAGCCCTGAAGCCAAACAATTCTTCTGAAATCTAACGCCCAGATATTTCTGACTGAGAAATGTCTGGAGTGACATAACTGGTTAAAATCCTGGCCCACAGCTGGGTGCATCCACCCACACTAGTGGGATTAGTACAACAGAAACAAGGGGCTGTATGAAAAGGATGTTGAGGGTTAGGATAAAGCAAACATAAGAACTTAAATTGCTCCTGAGCTGCATTAGAGACTCCCAGACACAATGGCACACATAGTGTCAGCTGTTTGTGTGCATAGATGTATAACTGTGGGGGTTGTAATTGTTTAGTCAGAACATTATAATAATAGTAAATGTCCCATTGTTTTATACACGTGAAATAATGAAAAACGTCAATACAAAGCAAAACAACAATATATCATCAGTGTAATTTACCAACTCAATTTAGCAGTTTCATTATAGGTGAAAGTGAATTGTAATAAATAAGAAATTCACGTGACAGATAAGAACGCATGGTCTATCTGACCTAAGTAAATCATAATGCTCTGATTCGAAAACATTAATCTGAGCACAGTGGTGGTAAAAATAATAAGAATAAAAATAAAATAAAAAAAACAAGGTACACTTTTTCTGTTCTGAGATTTCACATGAAAGGACATTTTAAGAGTGACGTGGTTTTTATCAGGCCCTAAGCCTATTTAAATGTAACCCTGAGTGTGCAAAAACTCAGGGTTTTTCTGTATTACTAGTAATAACTCACCTCAATGTGGAGGAATAATTGCACAATTTTAAAACCTTTGACTCCTCTCTTTCATTAATTAACTAATCTAATAGATAATCTCATGTTGGATTCTAGACTACTTTGGTAGACTGAGGAGTTCATGAAATTATCAAGACAACATTCCCTAGACAGACAACTACTGTTTTTGATTTTACTTTTTTTATTATTATTTAAAAAATAACGGTAATGTATAGTAGAATTATGCATTTTCTTTGTGACAATCCATTGTCTATAACTAAATCACCTGGGATCCATGTTAAAGCGCTTCATTAGCTCAGCATATTAATCAAGCCACATCGACCTGCAAGAACTATCACCATGCTCTGACAAGTTACTGTCTTAGTAAAAACCCTGTCTTGCTTAGCTTGAGGGAAGGTTTAAAACTGCAGTAACAACACAAAAACCAAGTGATGCATCCACAGCTAAAAATGTACGTGTGGGCCGAGGGGAACCACAGGCCTCCTGTCAGTCAGTTTACAGATACATTATCATTTGCAGACCAGGAAGGACTGCACAGCGACACACAACTGTCACCAGAAAGAGAAACCATCTGACCTACACAGTGTACTAAAAATAGCAGCCTCCTCTGTATAAAAACAACACAACTCTGAGAAATTGGATGATTTGAAACTGCCTCTCAAGTTGACAAAGATTTTAAAACGTATCAAATTTGTACAGGATAAAAAAAAAGATACGGTTTACGTTTTCCCTATTTTGCATAAATCTGCTTAAGTGAGAGCACTTTAGCTTCGATTTCCTGCAGTTAAATATTAAACTGAGCCAAATATATCAAAAATGCTGAAGCAATGAAGGTAAAAATATACAGTCAGAACCAAACTACCAGAGTGTTGAGATACATCTTCCTCTGTCCCCCTACTCTTCCCATCCCTGGTGCTAAACAAAGCTCTTACTCAACTCTGGAAGATGTTTGTGTCTATCAAAATAAACGCCTGCATATATAAGCCTTAGAAAAAATCTTTACACCAATCATTACATTTAACTTACAGTCCTTAAGACACATTTAGAAACCAGTTCTACAATACAATTTTATCACAGAAGCCTAGATCCAGAACCCTGAAGATTAAGATAATGCAATGTTGTGTTGGACAATTATCCAGGGACGAAGCTCTTTTTGGTCACAACTCATTTAGTAACTATCACTGCCACAGAAAGGCCACTGGCTCTGGAAAAAATCCAGCAGTGTGGAGGATGCTGTCAGAGCTACAAATTCCTCAGTAGCTTCTGGATGACGGAGTTGATATTTTCCATGCAGCTATATAGTCAGACCAAAAACCTGAGGCAGGATCCAACTCTGGTGCACACACCCTTCGACCTGAGAAGCAATTACTAACCTCTACAAGTTAAGTCCTTGTTATTTTTAAAACTAAAATTGTTCAACTTGAAATAATTTAAAAACTTGAAGTGATACTACGGTAGAAAGAAACGTCTATTAAACATGTTGATTTGTCATTATGGCCTGTGTAAACAGGCAACAAACTAATCTCGTCAAGATCAGAACAGGACAACATTCTACTTCTGACTTCCTGTCACAGCATTATACTGATCTATTTATTTTAGTGCAACACTTCTGCTTTCACTTACTGCAAAACGCCATGCAATGCATGCCTTCATCCATCTGTATGTAACTGTGCTATTTGAGTTGCAGCAGGAAAGAAGGCTGAGTGGGAACATCGACGATGGACTATTTCAACACAAATGAACACAACACAAACTGGGATCTTTTCTGACAAAGTTCAGGTTAAAAATGACTAAGAACAGGTGATTCTCAGAGTATATTTAAATAGTCTTGCACAGAAACAATAGATAGAACATCTGAATACTGGGATCTTCACATTGAGCACTTGAACACAACACCACAGCTATTAAATGTCACCAGGTGTTTAATGTGACACCATTAAACTGCAATGTGGTTTATATGTCACCAAAGGTCAGAAAAAACTTTCTCAGTACTGTTGGAGAAATACTGACAGCAAAAATGTCAATCTAACAAACAAATCATATAATAATAAAAAAAAAATGTGTGCTCATTTAAATAAAGTGTAAATATTTATTTAAACATCTCAATTATCTGATAATTAAATGCAGAACTCCTCTGAAATTTAAAAGCATGCATATTTATTTTGGTATTAATTTCATTGTTTCATATTTCTAGTCCTCTATTCCATCATGAAATCATTTCAGATGTCAGACATCTGATTTTAATAATAATTTCAACATTTAGCATTTATCCATCTCTGGTTTTCTATAAATTGTCACATATATGTTCTTAAATATTTAACAACTTGTTGATGATTGTTGCATTTTTGGTCCTTGATGAAGAAAGTCACAAAGTCAGATTAAAATCCCATACATGCCACGAGGCTTCTCTGAAAAAAGCCCTACAGCCTCTGTGACATGAAAACACTCTTGTTGACTGGGGGGGATCCACTGAAACATATGACAAATAAAATTGATTTCTGTCACCTCTGTGCATATACCATGTCTCTTTTCACTCTGGACAGTTTGTTACAGAAGTACCAAACTTAAAAAAAAAAAAAAAAAAAAAAAAAAAAAAAAAATAAAAACCTGGGATTTTTTTTTTTTCTGGGAAAAAAAAATTTTTTTTAAAAAAAAAATTTTTTTT